CAAAGTTTGGGAAATGATTGACCTCCTAGATAAAATGTGTTAATTTTTACATATTTTGATTAGATGAATTAGAAAACAGGTGATAAAGGTGCTGGTTGGTTGGCTAAAGTCTTCAAGATATTTCACAATAAAGATTTATACACAGGCGAGTATATATGCCTACAAGGGAGGGAGGTGTCTGATGATCACGATGCCTCGTAACTTCTCGACAAAGTACGGAGGAACAATGACAATGGTACCACAAGGAAGTGTATAAATATATCTTCACTTTGAGACTGTAATTTATTGTTCTTTTATTGCAAGGTACATTAGTCAGATCTACGCATCATACAGTTACATCTGGTGGCTTGTGAAAGTGTCATTGCCGAACATTTTCAAGGAACAGTTGCGTGATATTTTCCCTCAGAAGCCAAGATGCCTCGAAACTGTGTAAACAACGCAGATAACTTCTGCTACATTTGTGGCAAGGTTACATTGGCATCTCAAAAGTGCAGTAGGACGGCAGTGGTATAAAAAAGGCGTACCACCTATATTTTGGATGCAAAATAGGGGATCAGGACAAGAGTTGGGCCCCTCATTATTGTTGCATTACATGTGTAACTTATCTGCGTCATTGGCTAAACAAGAAGAGAACGTGCATGCCTTTCGCGGTCCCAATGATGTGGAAGGAACCCACCAATCATAGTAGCCACTGCCATTTTTGCATGGTTCCCCCAATTGCAAAAGGGATCTCAAGAAAGAAGAAGTGGAATATACAAATATTCTATCCGCACTGGGTCCTGTACCCCATGGTGAGGACTTGCCTATTCCAGATCCACCAGAATCCTACTCTCTAGGCTCAGATGATGATAAAGACGATGAGCGCAAAAATGTTACATGAAAAACCAATAAATGAATAGAAAGTTATGTTATTGGTATCACCATAAAGATATATTTATAATGACTGATGTGGCACCATTCTCATTGCTATATCACATTTTGCAGAAAAGTTTTGGAGCCTAATCGCACATCTCCCTCGTAATTTTGAATTATTTTGATGCAATTTTGACCTGAAGTTGTAGCTTGGAAACTGGAGCCAATTAATAGTCAGGACTTAATTATCCTTTATTTATTGACCCATTTCTGGTAAAATTTAGCTACTTTCATTTCCGAGGCTTTCTCGTTGTAGACCAGTGCAGGTTGCACACTTGGGAGGTGATTTATAAATCATTCAAACAGAGTACAGCTATGCGAATGAAATGTGCAGCACATTATGGCCACTAGATGGAGCCATGGAACATAGAAATTCAGCTCCATCTAGTGGCCACAATTTGGTCAGGGGTGGGAAACTCTAGCCTTCCAGCTGTGCATTAACTACAAATCCCAACATGCTTCTGCCTCTGGGAGTCATGCCTGTAAATGTCAGTCTTGCAATGCCTCAAGGGACTTGTAGTCCCACAACAGTGAGAGGGCCGGAGTTGCCCACACCTGCCCTTGGTGGTTTTCAGACTATGAGCTGAAGCAGTTCCTATAATGAATGCTAAAACACATTTCATAGCTGAACAGAACAATATCCTATAATCAGGGGAAACAATGAGGAAAGGATTCTACAACCAGACTGTTACATTTGACAAGTTTATATTGATGTCTGAAACCAAGTGAAGCAGGACGGTGGATTAGATTCACTAAAGTAGTAGAGTATATTCACTCTCAAAGTGAACTTTCACTTTGCAAATTGACTCTTCCCTGTCTTAGTGAACGAGGTGAAACAGTGAAACTTCACTTTGCAAAGGATACCCAATTGTGGGCAAGGAAAATAAAAAAAACAGGATTTTTGCTTACACATGAATAGATGATTGAAGTCAGCACTGCTTAAAGTGATATTAAAGCGTTTACTGTTTTTTAGGGATTCCTACTGTTGAGGTGATCACTTATAGCCAAGGTTCTCAACTGGTGGTTCACAAACCAGAAGTGGGTCACAACCCTGTGTTCATTGGTTTACCACGTGCTTCCCACTGCGCTAGGTGAGGCTCCTGAGCCGCCCCATGAGCAGTACTGTCAATTGTCATGCTGAACAGCCATTCAAAATATGCTGCCCGGTGCCGAGTGTCAGCTTGAGGTGAGGTTGGCTGCTGGTATGGCCGTGAGGGAGCTCCATCCATACATGCATTGCTTACAGCGCCTTCGTGTGCAGTAAAGAGGTGCCTTGACCAGAGTGACGTCACATTCTGGCTCCCGGCACCTCTACATGGCACGCAAGGGAACTGTACAAGCAATAAACATATGGATGGAGCTTGGTCACAGCACAGCAGTCCACACTGGACCCCAGGCTGAGGATGCACTCCAGTTCTTGTAAGGTAGGGAGACTGGGTGGATCGTAAAAAAATTTTTGGGAATGTGTGTGTGTGAGATTGTGTCTGTGGTTGTGTGTATCTGTTAGTGCTTTTAAGGTCCCGTTCACATTAATACAATGTGTTAAACACACAGTCCTGTGCGATTAATGCACTGTACCAAGCAATCGCACCTACCAAATGTTCTGTTGCAGGTGGTGTGTTGCGTTGCCATTCCTTTGAATGACACCCCAAACGCACCTCCTGCCCATAGTTTGTCTGCACTGGAACATGCGGTACCCAAATGCTGTGCATTCCAGTGCGGTGCGACTTAATAACCAAGGACCGATGTTGGTCCTGAGGTTACACAGGTTGAAAACCACTGACTTATAGTACATGCTGCTTTTTTTAGAATTGCAGTTGTCCTATCATCTGGATTCAGCTGTGATACTCAGCACCATTGAAACATTTCAGTTCCAGAGTGGTTCCATTCTCTTACAAAGTCCTATAGATTCACCATTACGTGCGCACTCCAAGCCGGAAGCTGAGTGCATCAAAATGAACACACAGCCCCAAAGCCTTAGGACGTCAAGCCACTCCCCTGTTTCCACCTCCTCCCTCCTCAAAGCTAATAGATAGGCAGCTGCTGTCCCTTGTGACTTGGTACACAGAGCGCACTCTCCCAAACAGGAAGCTGCGCTTAGGGATCAGGGGTTGGTGCCAGTGTAGTTAATAACATGTAAGTGATTGGCACATATAGGAACTATACAATGTACTGGAGATTGTTTCTTTGGTAGATGAGAATATATTCTCTACAAAAACGTTGAGGATGTAATACTATTTTAAACTCATTCACTAAGCTAAGTGTAACGGATCCCCGCCATCTGCGCATGCGCAACCTGCACGTTCCCACACTGCTCGGGAACGTGCCATCCCGCGCAGAAGTGGTAGATTACCAGCATGAAAACGCGCCATAGCCGTGCACAGGAAAGGACATCACTGGCCCTATATAAACCCAGCAGCAGTACCACCATGTTGCTGGTTTATCGTCAGCTAATCCTTGTTCCAGTGTTTTGTGATATCTTGCTTGATCCTTGTGACCCGGACTTCCTCAACGAACCTTGAATTCTGCCTGCCTTGACCTCGGAACTGTTATTTGACCATTCTTCAGCCTAACCCCTTTTGTACTGGAATTGCCCGCTTGGAACCTGACCTCGGCTCGTCTCATAGGCTTGCACGGTGCTCAACACCACTGGCACTCCTGCCACTTGTTGTCCCGCTGGGCTCTGTTCCCATCATCAGAGTCTACCAGGACACAGGGTGCAAGGGAAGCCTCCTCTCACATCCGGTCTCCCAGAAGGTACGTAACACTAAGGCCCCATTCACACTGAGCGACATGAAAATCGCGCGATTTTGCGCGACGAGCGATATTGAGCGACTTGTCGCGCAACTTTTTCCTATTGGGCTGTATGCAATCAGGAGCAATATCGCTCGAAAAAAGGGTCATGTAGGAGCGACAAGCTACCAGCGACGAGCTACCAGCGATATTGAGCGATATTGAGCGACGAGATGTGAACAGCTCCATTGAAATGGTTTGGAGAAGCTACATAGAGCGATATCGCGTGGAAATATGAGCGATATCGCTGCAAAAATCGCTCGATAAATCGCTCAGTGTGAATGGGGCCTAAGTGGATTTTCTCTTGCAAAGTGAATTTTCACTAAGCTAAGTGCATGAAGGGAAATTTCTTCAATCGCCCAACCATGTGCAAGCAAATATCCTGTTTTTTAACTGCCTTTGCACATGATTGGGTATTCTTTGTCAAGTGAATTTCACTTTAGAGGAGAACTATGAGGTGGGTGCTTTTCACTCACCTCATAGTTCTAGCCGACCTGTGACCACAGAGATAGTACCAAAAAGGAAGGGGGGGGTCAGATTCTAGTTAGGGAGCGGTGGAAACCAACATTGGGAGAAGGGGGGGAGGGGAGCAGAGCAGAGCAGGTAGGAGAGAGGGGCGGTAAAGAGGTATGAAGGGAAGAAGGGTGGGAGATGAGGTCAGTGAACCAGTGGGCCAATCGCCATTCCCCTGGCAGCCGTCGCTACGTGTTCGGTCGCGGCCTACCTCTAGGGGAGATCCTGTAACAGGGCATGAAATTCGGATGCCTGCGTAAAAGCGGTCCAATAGAACCATGTGCTGCAGTGCGTAGCTTGTTGGCCTCGCCCAGACCAGACCAGGTCCTCTATTCTCTCCACCTCTCCCACTTTATGAAGCCCCCATAGTTCTCCTTTAATGGAAATGAAAAACAGCGGCACTCCAAAAATCAATTGTGGCTTCTTTTTCTGGAGTGCTGCTAGCCTTCATTTCCATACTATTGACCAGACACGAGCTGACCTGGCGCCCATTGGACAAGTATTTGTGGATTGACCTGGAGCAGCACTGCATTTTGGGCTGTTACTGTGAATTTGCTCTTTGTTTCAACGTATTTACTAAAATAGCTGAAAATTCACATATGAACGTGCTCAGTTCCTTTAGTAGCTCGGGGGTCGCTGTTTCAGACAGGCATCACATACCGTTACAGGCCCAAAACTTTATAAAACATTTTTTATTCCAAAAAGTGCATCTAAAAACAAAAAAGCAGACAAGGCTAAATAGTTTTTCAGTTTATATGTTTGTTGTAGTTGTGTGTTTTCTGGGGATTTTCCTTTAAATAAACCATTGTACATACAATACTGAAGTTCTAAAAATTCTATTAACATAATTTCAAAAGTAACAATCATTTAAAAAATGGGTAATGAGTTCTCTTGATTTTCATAGAAGCTGACTTTATCTTGACAATCGAGCCGTTCTCCTTCCATGTGTCCCATTGAATGCCTGCTATATCTATACCTCTGGTCACGCGGTGGACCCCGTTCAGGTTGGCTAAACCACATTGGCGGAACCACCAGCCACTCTTGTTGTTGTGTTGGCTACAGCTGTTCACTTTGGTGCCATTGAAGAAGCATGAAGGATAACAGTTATCATTGTCGATATCGTAGGTGCTAAAGGGCATTGCATTCTGGTTGTCTTCTTTCCTGTACCCACGGATGGCATCACCTGCACGGAAATGGAATATCGATCTTGTTACTTTCTACAGAAATCAGGCCCCTGGTTTATAGTAGTTGTGTACTGCTTTTTCATGTAATTAGACAAGAGGATTATAATGGGAATATTACACTGTAATGTTCCCTATTAAAATCTATTTCTCTGATTATATGATTACAGGTAGGCATGTGATCTATCAAAGTTTGAGACTACATTAGAATGTGTGACCAGGGACGTGGTCACACATTTTAACGTAATCTTGCCCATTTTTTCGGCGGTGGAATAAATTAAGAATTCCAAAGCTTTCTCCGCTGTTCCAGGGCAGATCGGCATCGCAAATCGCATGTGCAGGAGAACCGACCTGCCCTGAAACAGCTGATCGGTCCTGAAATGTCACTTCTCTCCACCTGTTTCCTCGAAAATAAGACCTAGTACTATTTTTGGGAATTGCTAAAATATAAGACCTACCCCGAAAATAAGACCTAGGTATGACCATTCCCCGGGCCGGTGGTGGCATAAGGGGGAATGTAAAGAGCAACAGGAGAGAATCAGCGGTGCCAACGAAGCCAGCGATAGAGGAAGCGAGGCGGCACCAGAGGGAGCAGAGCCGCATAAGCCGATGCTTCCTCTATAGCGCCGGCTCCTGTCACAGGCGGAGTGATACCAAATGCCTGTGAGGAATAGATAGTGAAAGTGCGCTTCGCTCATTCTGGCCGCAATTGGTTAGCAAATTGCTCTTGGAAAGGTACGGCACCCCTGATTGGCCCTAATCACCATATTTGTGTACATGAATACATGTAGACTTTTCTACATGAATAAGTATGGATTGTTGTACATTAAAAAAAAAAAAAAAAAAGACCTACCCCGAAAAAAGGACCGAGTGTGTTTTTTTGAGGCAAAAAAAAAATATAAGACAGTGTCTTATTTTCGGGAAACACGGTATATATGACTACAAGTCCCAGCGATAGATTAAAAATGTAAATAATCAGAACAGCTTTTTGCTGCGTGTGAGTTCCAGAGCGGTAGCTGCTGGAACGCACCACGATCGCTGTGAAACTCCCCCCCCCACACGTTTTGGGGCGGGAGGGGGCGTGGCGGTGCATTGTATTCAATGGCACCGCTTCCACGCCCCCCCCGCAGTGCAATCGAACGCATGGCAAAGCCTAGCCCTATTTTTTGCGTTTGCAGTTAAACAGAACGCTGACAAAGTTTTGCCACGTGTGCGATCGCACTGCGGGGTGGGGGGCATGGAAGTGGTGCCATTGAATACAATGCACTGCCACCACCCCCTACCGTCCCAAAACGTGGGGGGGGGGAGTTTCACAGCGATCACGGTGTGTTCCAGCAGCTAATAAATACAAATACATGAACACAGTGAGACACACACACATACATACATAAACACACACACACACATACATACATGAACACGGTGACACACACACACATACATACATATATACACAGTGACACATACATGAACACAGTGACACACACACACACATACATGAACACATACATGAACACAGTGACACACATACATACATAAACACAGTGACACACAAACACACATACATACATACATGAACACGGTGACACACACAACACAGTGACACACACACACACATACATACATACATAAACACACACACACACATACATACATACATACATGAACACGGTGACACACACACACATACATACAGGTGAAACTCAAATAATTAGAATATCGTGCCAAGTTCATTTATTTCACTAATGCAACTTAAAAGGTGAAACTAATATATGAGATAGACTCATTACATGCAAAGCAAGATAATTCAAGCCGTGATTTGTCATAATTGTGATGATTATGGCTTACAGCTCATGAAAACCCCAAGAACCCCAAATCCAAAACCTCAAAAAAGTAGATTATTACATGCAATCAATAAAACAAGGATTGTACATAGAACAATATCGGACCTCTGAAAAGTACAAGCATGCATATGTACTCAGTACTTGGTTTGGGCCCCTTTTGCAGCACTTGCTGCCATTACTTTTGCACAATATTCTAATTATTCGAGTTGCACCTGTACATACATACATAGTGACACATACATGAACACAGTGACACACACACACATACATGAGCACAGTGACACACACACACACACATACATACATGAACACAGTGACACACACAGGCAGACACACACTACCGTGTTTCCCCGAAAATAAGACACTGTCTTATATTGTTTTTGGCTCAAAAAAACACACTAGGTCTTATTTTCGGGGTAGGTCTTATTTTTTTTTTCTTTTATGTATAACACTCCAAAGTTAATGCAAATCCAAATTAAATAATCCAAAATGGCGAAGTGCGCTTTCACTATGGATTCCTCACAGGCGGAGTGCATTTGGTATCACTCCGCCTGTGACAGGAGGCGGCGCTATAGAGGAAACATCGGCTTATGCGGCTCTGCTCCCTCCGGTGCCGCCTCGCTTCCTCTAGCACTGCCTGCGTTGGCACCGCTGATTCTCTCCAGCAGTTCTTCAAGTTCCCCCTTATGACACCACCGGCCCTGGGAATGGTCACAACTAGGTCTTATTTATGGGGTAGGTCTTATATTTTAGCAATTCCCAAAAATGGCACTAGGTCTTAATTTCAGGGTAGGTCTTATTTTTGGGGAAACAGGGTAGTGCTTGCAGCTTAGGACCAGGAGGCAGTGAAGAGAGAACGGCTCCTCCCACAGTGCAGGGACTCAGAGAGTGGCCCCAAGGAGGTAGTGTGAGGCTCCAGAGAAGGCATGTAATAGCAACGGTCACAGTGCTGCCAGAGCGGCTCCAAAATATGCACAGGGGGCGGGGTGAAGCTGAACTGAAACCATTGCAGCAGAAGCCCGGAGCCCGGCGTCCACACCAGTACATCTATGTTTGCGGCTGTGCTGTGATTTTTCCGCCCCCTCCCGCTCTCGAGGGTGGTTGTCACCCGGAGCGGAGACTGGCTGACACCCCGCTGTGACGTCATCGCGCATGCACGTGACGTCACGTATGCGCGGCCCTCTAATTGACACTTGTCGGCGGCCATGTTGTGATGGACGCCGTCAGAGAGAGGAGTGGACATTCACCCGGCGGGATGAGGTATGCCGTTGGGTCCCATCCTCTCTCCTGGCACCGTCGGGCTCTCAGTCCATGACCGAGTGCCCGACTTTTTAGAGGGGGTGACACCAAAATGACTGTCAGTCATTTTGGTGTCACCCCTCCAACGGTGTCACTCGGGTGCGGGCCGCACCCCCCTTGTGACGCCACTGCATTGAGTAGCACTGAATACATTGTGTACGTTTTTCATATTTTAAAATACTTGCTTTTATCTTTTTTCATCTTTTGTTGCATCTCAGTGCTGCATGGAGACGACTTCCCTGCTACTCAGGAAGCCAGGTGGCAAGTCATTACACGCCGCCTGGCTTCCTAAATGGGACTTCCGGTATTGGTATTTGTTATCGGCGAGGACCGGAAAACAAATATTGAGACTCGTTCTCGTTACCGAAAAACTGGTATCGGGGTATCCCCACTAATGTCCATTTCTCCTGGAGGAAGCAGCATAACCCTACGTCTCAGAATTTTTCAGAGCTGTGTCCCTCAATGGTTGATCGAAAAAGCACCCATGGAAACTAAGGCCCCGTTCACACATTTACGTTTTGTCGCGCGTTCAACGCTCTATGAACGCTCTATAAAACGTACAGACATGAAAATCCCATTGTTTTCTATGGGTATGGTTCACACTTTTCCGTATTTCCGCCCGTCTGAACGCCCTAGAAAACGGCCTACGCTCAAACAAGTACATGTACTTCTTTGGGCCGTTTTGTAGGGCGTTTTCCATTGGGATACAGCCAAGTAGCCTTCGGAATCGCGCGACGGTCGCACAACTTTTTTACCGCGAATCGAGGTAAAAAAAACGCGCGACAGACGCGCATATGTAATACGCCTAGGTGTGAACGGGGCCTAAGAAGCAGCTTAAGCTCAACAGGTAATTATCTTCATGAACTATCCTGTATCTATAAACAGAAAAAGAGAGTCCTTCTATGTAAACCATGATCTCTATGAGGACACACAGATCTTCAGTAGAAAGCAGCATCTAGGATCTCTGCCAATTAAAATATATACTTTATTAGTAATCCATAAAATAACAGATGAGCCTTGTGTGGGCTACAGAAACCTAAACTATCCCGAGTAACAAATGATGTGGCTGAAAAACACAATACAATTGTTCTCATCGCTGGGAGATCAGAGCTGATAGTTTTCCGTGCAATGTTCTTGGCACTGAGAACTAATGTGCATAGTAAAGCTGCTCAGTGTTTTAAGCTCATTCTGAGTAAGAAAGTATCCATTACACTCAACCTTTACATTGTCTATTCAGTACTGTGTTAGTATAACTTTTAATGCAGTTATCCTTTAAAGTGACCCTGTCACTGCAGAATCATTTTTACACTCAAAGCAGCCTGTAAAAGAAAGAAAAGACAATATACAGTACCTGCCTTTCCAAATATGCAGCATTCCAAAAAAATACTTTTAAGTTATACCCCCCCTCCGCAGCTGTACAAATATGGCAAGATATATGACAAAATACTGAAGCTTGGCCCAGTGGTAGATTCCTCCATCCACACAGTTTAGCGTAGATGGAGGAATCTGTTGCACTTTTTCCATCTGACCATAGAAAATCGGCAGATAATCTATAGGTGTATGGCCGGCTTAAGTTTTATACTTCTCATTCCCCCCACCTCTGCGTTCTTTACTGTGCTGCCTGCTGGGTTCCAAACAGCTTGCTTACCACAAGTCTATGCTGCATATGCGTAGAAGAATTCTCAATTCATGCTTATGGAAATGCTGTCCACCATTGGGGCAAATAATGAATGAGCTTTGCATAACTATTAATAAGTAGTCCGAACAGGAGACTTTGGGAGAAAATACTGTGCGGTGCCCTCCAGGCCAAACAGCAAAGATCTCGGAGGAGAGGGGACAAGTAAGTATAAGACTTGTGAGGGAGGGCTGGGGGGGGACATTTACATCTACAGTTTAATATGCTTTTATTTTGCCCCTGTCCATACTGGGTGCCTCTTTCTCTATGCAATGCAGACAGATCACGCCTGGTGGGAGGGGTCGGCAGGGTGCTGTGCATAACTTCCTGAAAACATCACAGCTTCATGCCTCAGTACTTCTCACAAGAGCCCTCATCCCTGATGCAGGCAGTGGACTGGCTCTTGGGAGTAGTTATGTAAATATCAAAATGCCTAATAGGTGGGGGTCAGTCTGGAGGATGGGGCATTCCAGAATGCATTTATATGCAGACCACTCCAAGGTAATGCCCACATGTGGAGTCTGTACACTTGTGCAAGAAAAATAGTAAAGCGGGAGTTTAGCTTTAAATGTATGAAAAGTACAGATATGTACAAGGGTGTTAGTAAATATGTTCTTTCTTTGCTTACTATAGTCAAGACCGTTACAGTTTCCCGAGGGAAGCCGTGGGCAGCTGAAGCGGCTGAATGAGAAAAGATGCCTTGTGTATGGATATCTTATCTCAAACTAGATCCTCTGCGCTGATAAAATGTAATTTTGAGATCCCTGATCAACTGATTCGACAACCAGTGTGCGACTAGCCTGACCAAATCTGGGATTCTTTTATTCTGTTTTGCATTAAAATCATAAAATAAACAGAAACAGAGCTGTGTGCATGATCCATAAAAAGTTCCTAAAAATCAATGTTTTACTAACCTGCTGTTCCAAAATAGCGCCCAACATGCATTATGAAAGAGGTCTTCTCATCTTCAATCCAGAAGTTATCATAGGTTGCGTACGCCAGTGACCCGTCTTCAGCCTCTAGGGCAATATTTAGCATAAAACTGGTGTTCTTCTGATTCAGAATGCAGAAGGTTTTCCTCAGACCCAACCAGAACTCCCCTGAAAATACAGTTTATAGATCACGTTCAGTATCTAAAGATGCAATATCAGACAACATTGAAATCAGTGAGATACTAATTCTATCCAGAAAACAACAGAATTTTGATGAAGTCAGGAAGTTCACTTAAATTACTTTATATGAGCCTTGTGTAATCCATTGCAGCAAAATCCAGAGAGTACCTCACAGGTTTCCGTATACTTTGTAAAGTCTGTTTAGTGTAATGCCCCTTCTCCCTCTCTGCTTCCAATCATATTCAGCATGGAGCCTGCAGTGGGTGTGTTTGGGAATAACAAACCTGCATCTCAAATTGGGGTTCTCCCATCACCAGATTACCAAGTACACTCATACACTACAGCATTACTTGGATGAAATACTGAAGTATTGAGCAGGTAGACTATGTTCCCGGTATACATCTAAAGGCACAATTTTTAGTTTTGACTTGACAGAACAGGCATCCCATGAATGGACAAGGAGAGAGTAGGGGCAGGTAAATGACAGGATCTCTCAAAATCCATTCATAGAACACGTTGCGCTTTGTGACAAGAATACAAGGCTTTTTGTGAATGTACGAGGGGAGAGGACGGGGCATATTAATGGCAGCATCTCCCCTTGTCCATTCACTGAACACCTTGCACTTTGTGAGCAAGAATGCAAGCCTTTTTTGTGAATGTAGGAGGAGAGAGGAGGGGCAGGAAAATGACAGGATCTCCATTTGTCCATTCACAGAACGTCCTACATTATGTGACAAGAATACAAGGCTTTCTGTAAATGGATAAGGGGAGAGGAGGGGCAGGTAAATGACAGGATATCCCCTTGTCCATTCACAGAACACCTTGAACTTTGCAACCAGAATGCAAAGCTTTTTGTGGATGGACAAGGGGAGAGGAGGGGTTGGTAAATGACAAGATCGCTCCTTGTCCATTCACAGAACACAGTTTGTGACATGGATACAAGACATTTTGAAAATGCACGAGGGGAGAGGAGGGGCTGGTAAATGACAGGATCTGCTCTTGTCCATTCACTGAACACCTTGCATTATGTGACAAGAATACAAGGCTTTTTGTGAATGCACGAGGGGAGAGGAGGGGCTGGTAAATGACAGGATCTCCCTTTGTCCATTTACTGAACTGTGACGACATGGTGATCAGTTTATGTGTATTGGTTAAGTTAAATGTGTATTGGTATTGAGTTATGTTTGAGTGCGTTATGCTGTGTGACCTGGTTATGTAAAGACTATCAGCACCATCCCTCGTTATCTCCCATTGTACTCTGAGGGAGCTCAGAACAATGACATTCTGGCCAGGCTCCTGCCATGGCTGTCTGGAGTTCGTTAGCAGGTGGACACCTGTGGTGTTGAGCAGACCGATGGTCTGGGAGGAGGGGAGGTGGATGTGATGGGATTATATTCTGATTTCATCACTTGCTGTATAAAAGTTTGTGCAGTTGCTCAATAAAGCAGAGTTTGTTTACCCTACACTCAAGCCTTGGCTAGTGACTGGGGAAACTGGGAGCTACAGATCTTCAGGTTCCAATATCACCTCAGCAAGGAAGAAGACAGCGGCGGACATACTCATCCTGAGTACGGGGGTCCGTCACATGAACACCTTGCATTCTGTGACAAGAATACAAAGCTTTTGTGGGGCAGCTCTGTGCTCAGCGCTGTGCACGGCACAGAACTATCAGTCGCAGCACTTGTAGAAGAGTGTTGAGCCCTGTATCCTGGACAAACCAAGATTACTACAGTAAACAGCATCCATCCAGCCATAGGATACTCATGATTACAGGTATCTGACTTATGGCAATTCCAAAGAATCAAAAAAATCCCTGATGTTCTGCTTTAAATATTTAACCCCTGCATGGCTGGGAAACTGCTGCATTTTTATTTCCTTTTTGCTGCTGCAGAGGTGGCAGTGCTAAGTTATGGTAGCGCCTTTATGCTGATCATCTACTGATAATTGCTCGGCCATGCAGGCAGGAAGTAAACACCCATTTTAATTCTATTTTTTGGCTGTTCTGTATTTCTGATTGGCTTCAATGCCTGCAATCCTTCTCCTATCCTAAATGTTCTTTTGTTTGTCTTCCCCAAGCTTAATAAAATCAGTCCATGCAACTAGAACCGTGAGTCATGGGGCAAAATGAGTCACTGCAGAGCAGTCTGGCCAAGGTACTGGAAGAAAAATGTGAACATAAGACATTTAATGAAGAAAATAAAAAGGTTTTACATTTCCATTAACATGTGCTGCCTACCTGTGAAACTCTGGAACCACTTCTTGTTCCCAGTAAAGGAATAAACACTTTTCAATTATTTAGAACATGTGCTGCCTACCTGTGAAACTCCACAGCCTTCTCCAGTGTATGTAAACCCTAACAATGAACTTCTCTTCTGTTCTTCCTTCTGGTCTGTTAAACATACCACTAAATGTGCAAAATGTAATGTGCAAAAAAATACCTGTAGTTCCTGCCAGTTTGTAACTCCCTGTAGTGAGCTGACAATACTTTACTATCTTTAGTCCTGCATGAGAACTACAGAACAGCTCCCCCAATGTTTTTCTTAGGACAAGAAGTGTGTTACTGGTAGCAATATTAGGAAAAAAAAAGGTGAAAGCCTAAAAAAGAAAACAAATGCAGCCACCAAATCTATGGACTGGTTAGCTGTATTATATTAAGTTTTTTTATCTTGGGTTCAGAAACTAATTGTTGCCCCTTTTTGGAGATGATCTGGATGTTCACACTACATCCAGATCATCTCCAGACCGGACCAGATTGTTTCCGGGCCCAAAATGCATCTTAATGTATCCCTATGCTGTTTCTGGCCTCTGTTTACACTAGCGCAGTCCATTCCAGACCAGACCAGAAAGATACTGCATGTCTCATTTTGTCTGGTCTGGAATGCATGGAAACGCATTAAGAGCACATGCAAATACACTGGAACGCACCTAAAAGCCCATTTTAAACCAAAAAAAAAAAACCCAGCTCCGAAATGCGGCAACATCGTGGTACAATCGCTCTAAAAACACGGCAAAACGCAGTGCGCTGCTTTCCAGATCTAGTCCAGAAAATGGTGTGAACCTGGCCTTAGTCAAGCTCAATAGTAGTAAGTCATATTGTAAACCATTGACTCTCTGTATATCAGGGGTGGGAAACTCCGGCCCTCCAGCTGTGCTTTAACTACAAATCCCAACATGCCTCTGGGAGTCATGCCTGTCACTGTCGGTCATGCAATGCCTCATGGAACTTGTAGTTCCACAACAGCTAGAGGGTTGGAGTTGCCCACCCCAGCTTTATATGATACATATTCTGCCTCCTACCACATGCTCCAACTCTACCTGATATCTGTGTACTGCCTGCATTAACACCTCTCCCACCTTATCTAAGGACCAGAAAATAAGGCGGACACATCTGCTCTCATATAAGCAGCCAGTACAAGTGAAAACTCTCAGGGCTGATTCACATCTCAACATTTGCACTCCGTTGCAGTGTGTTAACACTTATGGTAATGGACCAGGTGTCTCAAGGTAAACTAAAACTCCATGCTGTCCATGCTGGAGGCTAATGTGTTTCATGCACTAGGACAGACTTCCTAAGAGGGTCATGAGATCAGATAATTGTCTAAAAGGGTAGCTAGGGTCAAAAACGGAAAAAAAAAAATCTGTATTTCTGTATTGAATTTCCATAAGTTCTCTCCCACTCCTAATAACCATATCCATATAGAAGTTTGTAAACTTACTTATTGAACATGCCCATAGGATGTACTTCCTCAATGCACTGATACAATGTCACTATATCTTGTCAAACAATGTAACATTATCATTGCTTGCTGGAAGCAGTGCATGGTGGGATATGTAGTCTTGAGAAATCGAGATTGCAGCAGGGAAGGGATGCAAAACACACTGGGCATCCAGGTCCAAGTTGTTGAAAGTGATGACCAGACGGAAGGCAGCACTCAATAATGGATTTGACCCAATGTAATGCAATAGTTAAGTGCTCATTTTAGCCTGGGGTCAAAAATAGAAATGTTTCAATATTCCTCTACCTGAAAGTTCTCCAAATCCTTCCATGTAGTCAAGCCAACTTCTCTGGAAGTCAATTGTGCCATCAATTCTCTTTTGAAGGACGGTCCATCCCCCTCCTCTGTAATCCATGTCACAAAATGCCTAATACGATATTATGGAAGAGTATACATCACAGTAATATAATAAGAAATAGCATTATCATTAGGCAGAATTAGGATTATATGTCATGTACGGCAATGAGCAATAAAGCGTATTTTAGAGTTTTCTCTAGAGTCTATAAAGGAACATTATACTTTGCATGTATGTTTTTGTCTTTATGGGCCTTTGCTCATATTAGTGTCAACACATCATTATAAGCCTTCTACCACCAGAAGCATTGCTGTGAAAGACACATTAACAATGTTCCCATTTGTAAAATCTTTGTTTTGTGCTGGCAACACCACAGCTTAGAGATGCACAACTATATGGAAAACCATCATCATACGGAAAATGCATCCACATTTTGGATGATTTACTAATTCACAAAATGGCTGCTTCGTATACACAGGATCATATTTTTTATACAATTTATACTAAAGTATAAATTGGGGGTTCTTTATTGAAGCAGCTACAAGCCCATGGGGTGGCCATACAGCTGCTTTAAAAAGAAAAGACACCTTTATAAAGCACAACGATGTGCTTTAGAAATGTGCATTGTGCTCCACTTGCTTTGGTACTGCGATGTTAATGTGACCCCTTAAAGACTCCATGGAAGCACACGTGACAGTGTGACAATGCTGGAGAGAAATTGGGAGATAGTGACAGAATGCTATCACCTCCTAACAGGTTTCTGAACAAAGATCTTCATGGCAGGATCAGAAGGTATTATTTAAATAAAATGTACAGATTTGAAGCTGCACTCCAGGCTGGAATGATATCCTTGTTATATCATATCTCTAATGCATCCAAATAGTATTCAGATATGAAATGTGTCAATAAAAAGCTCCATGTATCATGTACAGAACACACGTTTCATCTGCTCCCATATAAGCATTTAAATACCCACCACAGCTATTAAAATATGAAGGTGTGAGAGATATGAAGGCCTCAATTGTAATCTTTCCCCATGTTGTCTAAAACAGTTTTTACTGGAGTTGTGTTTTAACTAGGGATGCACTGATACAGATACTAGTATCAGTATCGGTGCCGATACCGAGTAATTGGGGCGAGTACTCGTACTCACCCAAATGCTCCGATACCGGAACTTCCAGTCAGACCGGCAGTACCGTGAAGGAACATGGAGCCGGCTTTGAGAAATGACTCACCGCCCGGCTTCCTGATTGGCCGGGAATCCATCTCCATACTGTTTGGAGCCAGCTTCCCAGCCAATCAGGAGGACGGGTTGGCTCCATGCTAATTAGCTGGGAAGCCGTCTTTCTGGCCAATCAGCATAGATCTGGCCAAACAGCATGGAGCAGGCTTCCCGGCCAATCAGGTAGCCGGGTGGCGGGTAATGGCCCAACTACCGTCTTCCTTGCTGAAGACGGCTTCCCAGCCAATTAACATCGATCCGGCCAAACAGCATGGAGCCGGCTTCCCGGGCAATCAAGAGGCTGGGCGGCGTGTAATGACCCGCTGCTCAGCTTCCTGATTGCCTGGGAAGCCGGCTCCAAGCTAGCGGGAGTACTGGTACTTGGTATCGGCATATAACCCCTTAACTAAGCCCAAAGCCCAAACCTTCACCCTGGCCTGCAGCAGCTATGCTCAATCATCATAACTCTGCATTGGAAACTACGAGCTGCACAAGTGCAGATCATTTTAACTCTTTCCAAATATATCTCCAATTCATAAACATGAAAACATTCTCAACATTTTCAAACACAATTGATCAAAGACCACTATACTCAGGGATGTCCCTAGCATAATCCCTGCCTGAAGTGGTGTGAGGGGGGACTGGCTTAGGGAGTGCAGGTCACATTCTGGGGGTGGGTGGGAGTTGGCTGGTTGTGGTCACGTTCCTAGGCGGGGGGGTGTTAGCGGAGGGGGGGTGCTGGTGGTACACGCTAACAGCATTTTGGCCGGCATCCTGGTGGTGCACGAGCCAGCTCTGGCCAGCGTCCCGCCCAGCTCACTGACATCACAGTTTGCCAAGAGCTAGGCAGGATGCCGGCCAGAGCATCCAGGTGGGCAGGGAGATGTGCATGGCCCTTACACATTTGGCACTTATGGCCTCTGGAAAGGGGGCAGGGAGATGTGTATGGCCCTTACACATCACCCTGTCTAGCTCTTAGCAACCTGAGACACTTTGACTGCAAAAGGGGTGGCCAGAGCGATCCCAACATCGTGACAAAAAGAGATGCCGCCTGAGGCAACAGCCTGATTATAGGAACAGCCCTGACTATACTTTCCTTTTAGCAAAGTAAGCACTGTCAAATATTGCCTTCATTACCTCAAATGAAAACTGTGTTCCTTCAGGCTGTATTATGTACATTCCACTTGGTGCCCTCGAAAGGGTTCCAAAATTGTCATTAATGTCACTGCAATCAAAGCCTATGCATAAAAAAAAGAAGGACAAAGTTTCTTGCATACACCTCTAAGAAATCTCATCACTATTGCATTCCACACAGTTTCATCTCTACCACATCACCCTTACAATAAGCAGCACCTGTCAGCAAAATAGGCATTTTTTTGTTTGTTTTCTTGCTGATACAATATTCATTTTACTTTAATGGTATGGTGCACCATGTACTTCATGCTTTGTTAATGTCAATACTTCTTAATGAATTCATATACAGTATACTAGTGATGTGCGGAGTTCACCCAAGACTGTGCACAACTGTCACTGACACACCCTCCCGGGCCAATAAGTTGTGGCAGGGGCATGTCCTGCCGCTTTATGACATGTTGTGGCTGGGTGGGGAATGGCTGGGCTGCAGCTGATTAGGCCAATGACAATTTTGCACGGTCTTGGGTAAACTCGCACTAACTAGGTTCACTTCAAGCTGCCGCACATCACTAATATATACCAGAGGTGAGTAACCTTGGCACTCCAGCTGTGGTGAAACTACCATGAGGCACTGCAAGACTCTGACAGTCACAGGCATGACTCCCAGAGGCAGAGGCACAATGGGATTGGTAATCTCACCACAACTGGAGTGCCGAGGTTGCCTACCCTGATATACAGTATACCATGGTTTAAATATAATAAAAACCATGCACCTTTTTTTCATTTTGGACAGAGTTGGGAAGAACTAAAACCCCTTTTAGGTTTTTGGCCATCTGCGACCTGTCGTCTCTCAATTCCTGTGTCTATGAGACAGGATGTGATTAAAAATATCCCCAATGAGACACAGACAGCAAAGAAAAAAACTGCCCTTCCCTACTGTGTCCAAAACTAAATAAAATTGCTTAAAGGAGAACTATGAGGTGAGTGATTTATCTCATAGTTAGAGCCGACCTGTGACAAAAAAAGATGTCACACGTTGACTCTATTGATCGGGAAGTGAGTGAACACACACCGTCACTCGCTCACTTCCCAATCATATCCCCGCAAAGAGCGGTGACTGTCAGTCACCGCTCCCCACAGGGATCCCCCTCCAGTGCTGACTTGAGGAACGAATAGGGGAGGGAGCGGGCATTGCTGGCTCTACCTCTAGATAGGCAGAGCCCGCTGTCATTCACGCAACTGGGTGGATCTCCACAGTATTGTCCAGTATATAGCAAAAGCCTGCAATATACTGAGCTTTGGGTCACGGGAGGTGGTTAGTATATGTCCGCCCGTGACCCTAAAGAGAACTATGGGATAAAAAGGTTACCCCAAAGTTCTCTTTTAAGATATGATTTAACTGATCCTAAAACTGAAGGCCAATCTTGGCTATCGTACTGTGTGATATTATATCTTCTACAACATTTGTCTACATCTTGGTTTTAGAAATTAATATTCTTACCATGTGTGTGGAAAGGTCTGTGAATGAAGGGGTCTGTGTGTTTTTTTAAGACTTCTGCATTCAAAAGAAGAACCTTATTGGTTAGTTCACTCACCTATAGGTGCAACAATAAAATAAATAAATATCTTCACCGAAGTATCTAACAATACACATTTAACCTGCATTGTTTGGGATCTCTATCCCATTCATGTATGTCATAGCAAGATTCAGCCAAATAGAGTACATCATTAATCATATAAAAATCGGATACCCTACATCAATACAGCCATGAGCTGCCTTGGATGGGGGTGTGGCCACCAGCAGGAGCCGCCCTACAGCCAATATTCTTTTTTGTGCCTAGCGTCCTACTCCTGCAAGTGGTAGTATAACCCATCTGTACAGAGATTAAGATCTCTGCTGTGTCCTTCAATGAAGGAAACCAAGAAATCAAGATTCAGCTTTGGATGGATTAGGGTGTATTAGCCATTCACATACTAGACATAGAGTAAGCAAACCACCCAACTATTAACATTATTGTAATTATGGCACTTTGAATGTTAGGTCTAGACTGTGTATGGTGCTTTTACTTTTGCCCAAGTACAGATTAAACTTTACCCTCTGCCATTAAGCCCCACCCCATTATTCAACCGTAATTCAGCAGGTGTCCTCTGTCATTTGGCATCACAGCAGAAGTTGAAGGGTTTCCAGGTTTCAATTTTAAATCAATTAGTTCTATAAACTATAGGAGACAAATGTGGCAAATGTATATTGCGGAGTCTCAGTTTAAAATGGTACAGTAGCACTACTCCCAATCAAAATATATGATTATTGTATTATTTTAGCATTCATTTAACATTATAAAATTAATCAGAAAAGCATCTTGCCCATACATTTTACAAAACTATTATTAAAAAAATAGACAGGTGTAAAATACTGTATTATATATAAATACACATACATATATAATATATTTATATACTATGTGTGTGTGTGTATATATATATATATATATATATATAATTCCATCATACTCTTTAGCAATTTCTTTGTGCCTCTAGCATAGGAAATAAGAGAATTTTGGAGATTTCCTTAAAAAGAAAAATGATATAAAAAAATATGGTTTAATACTTTCATTGTTTCAGTGTTATCAAGATGATAAGAATTGTATAGAGTTCTTAAAAGAATTGAGGCAAATAATAAGCTAATGCCTTTTTATTTATTTTAACCACTTCAGCTGTCACATCTATTTACCCCTAAGGCCTAGCGGAATTTCTACATTTCAGCTATGGGCCTACCTGATTGAGCATAAAACGTAATTATTTAATGTAGCAGTGTGCCCTTTTACTTACCAGGCTTAGATGCAGCTGTAGGCCCCTTAAACTCAATTTTCTACAACTCCCTGAGTTCCTGACATGCCTAGGGAGTATATTTGGGCACCTACACATGCATGTGCGCATGCGCATCGTTCTGCACAGAGGATTGTGCGTGGCCGCATGCTTCTGCGTGGGCATGCGCGCACCTGTGTGCACGCTTCACGGCAGGGGCCCGGACGTGCACACGCGCTCATTGCTAACAATGCCGCCAATCGGACTATTGAAGGCTGAGACACTTTGACCTCCTTGCTGACTGATCTTCAGCTGTACCCTGCCCCTTTATTCCTGAAACCTGTATACTTGATCCGATCACCTGTTACCAACCCATCTTGTTTGACCTCTGCTCCTGCTCTGCCTCCCCTGACCTCGGCTTGTTCTGGACCTCTCTCTTGCCAGGTCCCTGGTACTTTGCTGTCTGCAAGTTATCGACCCGGCGAGCCTCTAATTACATCCTGTCTCCTGATTCTGTACCGCGCTGCCAGATTGTTGCTGACCCGGCTTGTCTCCATTCTTCTTTCAGGATCCTGCGCTCTGCATCCTGCTAAGTAGACATGTGCACTGGCAAAAAATGTGTTTCGTTTCGTTTTGATTCGAATTTTGCTTTATTTCATTTTTCTGGATTTGGGTCCGAAATTCAATTCGTTTCGGGATTCGGAAAAATTAGTTAGCGGTAGTCCGGTTGAAATTTCGTTTCTTGTTCATTGCAGCAAAATGACACTTGAGGAAAAAAAACTTTGTTTTGTTTGTTTACAGTCTGCAGAAGAGGGGGAGGGGAAAGCGTGAGGTTCCCCCCCAATTCATACCAGACCCTTTAGGTCTTAGGTGATCGAGCACCCCCCCCCCCTCCCTGCGCCTTACCAGGCCACGTCCCCTCGGTATTGGGTGTCCCCATGCCGATGGCGACAAGGGCCTCTTCCCCACAGCCCTAACCCGGTGGGTGTGGGGGTCTGCGGGCAAGGGGGCTTATTTGCATTGGGGTTACCCCTTTAATTAAGGGATGCTACTCCCCCCCCTTGTGAATGAGTAAGGGGTACTTGCACCCCTGCCCATTTACTAAAGGGTTAAATAAAATAGTTATCAAAAAGTCCAGACTTTTGATAAAATCCCCCCCAATAAAAAAAAAGTCCAGCCGCAC